CACAGCAAGTAATAACAACCACCGTAGGAACAACAAGTACCCTCTCACCACAAGGAACCACCATCATCACCCCAAGATACACAGAGCCGATGAAAATAAAAACCACCACAGGAACCACAGCTGTCCCCAGTACCACGGGCTCAGCCGGACAGGAAACAACCATCATTTCTACCACCACCAGCACCTCTCCCCCTCAGACTGAAGGTACAACCACCATTATCTCAACAACAACAGTGCCTACCCCTGCCACCACCACTGCCAGCAGCTCCACAACCACCTGGGAAAGCAGCACTCTATCTACAGAAAAAACTCTTCAAACGGTATTATCCACTGTTGCTATTCAAAGAACATCAACAATTGCTGCCTCCACCCCTGAAATAAAATTGAAAACCACCACTGGCACAACGGTGGCCCCCAGCACCACGGGCTCAGCTGGAGAGGAAACACCCGGCATTGCTACCACCACCAGCACCTCTCCCCCTCAGACTGAAGGCACAACCACCATCACTCCACCCACAACAACAGTGCCTAGCCCTGCCACCAGCACTGCCAGCACCTCCAGGACTACAGAGAGAAGCACCACAAGAGCCTCTGCCACCTCTGCTCCAGGAGAAACCTCCACTCTGGCAACCCAGACTACAACATCTCCCACAACACCCTCTGAAGTTAAAATAAGAACCACAACACCCTCTGAAGTTAAAATAACAACCACCATAGGCACCACAGCTGGCCCCAGCACCACAGCCTCAGGTGGAGAGGAAACAACCATCATCACTACCACCACCAGCCCTTCCTCCACTTCACCTGAAATAAGATTAATAACCACTTCTGGCCCCTCATCTGTGCTCACTACAACTCTTCCTCAGTCTGGAATTACCACAGGTAAATTCTTATAAGATTCTTTTCTCCTAATGTAGAAAATACTGCTATAACAGCTCTTTTCAGCACTACTGTCAGCCCAGGTATATAATTGTCGACTTTTTAAAATTTTACAACCATCATTTTCTTTAGACCAACATTCAAATCTTTGTGTTTTGTGGCTTCTTTCCCTAAACCAGTTTGTGATTATATGAATCTATGACCATTTATATTCCCTAAAACACATAAACCAATTTTTAATCAATCTCCTTCTTTGTTACTAGTATTTATGTTTGTCAGCTTGGTTTTAGTATTAATTCTTACTTAAATGAGTATTAATAGTATTAATACTCATAGTATTAATTCTTACTTAAATGAGGAAAGTTGAAACTTTTCAAAATGTTAGAGGTAAATCTCATCAGATTTGCCAAAGGCCAGATGTTATTCAATGTGCAATGAAAAAATTTCCATAATCTCCACTTATGAATAGCTCAAATATTTGAATGCAGGAAACATGTTCACTTGATTTGCCAGAATGTTGAATAGACCTCTTGAAGGTGTTAAAATTATTAGATCAAAATCCTGTACCTGCAAACTAAAATGTTACTTGTACTCAACAGTAGCTTCAACTGGTACATCACAATCAAGCCATGTTACAACAAGCACTCCTGCAACCTTCAGTTCCTCCACCAGCACATCTGTTACATCCAGCAAAACACCTCCATGCTTTTGTCATGTGTTTGAAACTTTATTTTCTCCTGGTAAGTGTCTTATTTTATGATTATAAAAGACTTCATAAGCAATATATACCCTTAAGACTCTATTAAATTAAAAATAACCACTCAAAGTCATCTAAACATCGAATGTTTTATACATGAATACACTTAATATTTTCATAATATTTTCTTGTTTTTTCTCCCTATGTATTTTCATCCTTGTAATTTTCATCTGCAGGGGAAGTGGTATACAACAGAACAGATAGAGCTGGCTGTAATTTTTATGCACTTTGCAGCAAGGAATGTGAGATTGAGCCCTTCTACGGGCCATGTCATCTGACAACTCCTGCTCCTTCAGTCGCCTCAACTACATCACAAGCTGCCTCACCAACCACAGCAACAACCACCACAATTTCAGTAGAAAGAAACTGCACTCATGTCAATCCTGCACGAAAGGTGGTTCCCCTCCCTACTTTATAATATACCACTGTTGCAAAACAAGACCAATTTCTGTCCTTTAACAGCCAATTCAAATCAACCTTTATGTATCTCAATAACAAAGTTGGTCATGTAACAAATGACCTGACAGCACACAATTATTTAACCTGGCATTACCAGACTTTTAAGTAATCTCTTGGTGAAAAAGCTCACTAAGGCCATGGCAGAGACTTTTGGTTTAAATAAAAGTCCTTTAAATTTCATAGACATAAGTAGACAAGCTATGAAATGTAAAATACCATTCTCTTTATGCAGAAGAAAATTCTGTGGTTATTCTTAGCATACTCGTTCTTAAATTATGTACTAAAACAACTAAAATCTGAATTTCCTACTAATTTTATATAAATTTCCTACTAATTTAATATATACTAATAAGAGTATATCTTAAGTTAAAACTGAACAACTAGGATAAAGGAGCATTTAAGAATAAATAATTTACATATTTTCAGCCTGGAGAGGAGTGGATAGAAGAATGCCAGAAATGTGTCTGTGATTCCCTCACTGCTACTGCACAATGCCAGCCACTCCCATGCCAAACAGCTCAACAAACAACTTGTGACCTAGGATTTGTTTCCATGGCTGTAATACCACAAAAAGACCCATGTTGTCCTGAATTTGAATGCAGTAAGTATTAAAAATACATTTATTTTTTTTTTTATTAAAAATACATTTATTTATTATTGCACTCCAGGCAATTACATTTGCACTTCCGTTAATATCTAAGGAAGTTCTTAATGTATCACAATAACAGCAAAATATTTCTTAAATTTTTCTGTCTCAATGAAAACAAAATTATTTTGGCTAAATATGCATTGAAGCTTTGTTTAAAAAAAAACAATGTTATTTTCATTTAACTTTAATAAGAGAATGGGTGGGAGAGCAGAATAGTATTTTGAACATTCACTGGTCTATGTAGCTCAACTATCTTTGTACCTGTAATTATAAATGTTATCCATGCATTTTTTTCATCTTACTAATGGAACATTAGAGCACATTAACATTAGTCTAAATGCAACTAAACTAAGATGCATAAACACAAGAATAAGTCACTAAATAGCTTAACAGTCAACTACAAGACCAAGTAACAGGAAGCAATAGTACAAAGTGAATTGTAATCAGTAACTAAATTGACAGTGTATGAAAAGTAATAATTATACTTACACTCTTGCCAGATGCTCATGAAAATAAACTAATATAACTAGGATTTTTTATTTATAAATATACGCTTTTATATACATATGTTTTATGTACATATACTTGTGCAAAAGACTAAAAAGAAAAAAGTACCCATAAATTAAGCCTGATAAAGGAAAGTCGAAACAAAGGAACAGGCAAGTTTAATGCTGTTCTGTGAAAGACATAGATGGGTTCTGCCATGTTGTCAGATTTACACTATATAGGAATACCTTTAGTAGGAATACCTTAGCAGGAATACCTTTTTCCACAGTATCAATCTTCCATACAAGCCATGTTCTGAAAGGTCATAAAGAATCAATAACTGAAGCATCTTTGTTTATCATGGAGGCCGAGTGTTCCCAGAGGAAACAACTAATTTAATTTTAATTGAACCAGATATTGAAAGGGCAAAAAAAGGATTTTTCAGGCATAGCTCAAGTTTGAAGCCATTCCTCTCCACCTCTTCCAGCTGATTTTAATGATGAAGCTTTGCTTAAACATTTAGCTACCCTATATATGAAGTCTAAGCACATATGGGGATTGAATTAAAGTTTTCCGTACTCTCTGTGTTACTAACAAAACCTGGTAACATCTTGAATTCTCAGGAAGACTCACAATTTGAGTTATTCTAGAATTAATATTTTTTTGTTTTGTTTTTTAGAACCAATACCTGATGTCTGTGTGATTAATGGAACATTGTACACGGTAAGAATGATATGGCAGTATATTGCTGGAAGTGAAAAGTACATCCTTTCTACCAAAATAAGTCTTTGAGAAAGTTCTTTTCCCAGTACATGTTTTTGGGAGTTTTTCTCTCTAGCCCTTAACTGGAATTTGTTTGGGTATTTAGAGTCAAAATCAAATTTGCCACAGAAGTCTTCCTCATAGAGTAGTATTAAAAGAAGAGTGTACCATTTTTAATGATGTACTTTCTTTTTAAGCTTCCTCTCACTGACTTTGCCAGACAATCTGATGAATAGCCCAAACTTAATTGCTCTTTGAAATAAGCCCAGAAAACCTTAAAAAACCAAAGTGAACATTTTTGATTTGATACCTAAACCCCTTTGCTAAAATTGGTACTTAGGTCATTTACTCATAATTTAAATATTAGCACTGGAGTCTTTGGGGATACATTTCAGAAAGACTAAAATCCATATGTAAATTTAGATCTCTGCTTAGGTATCTGCATATGTAAAGGCCTATTTTTGTCCCTGCTTTTAAATTACAATTGTTTTATGACCACTGAAGATAACTGATAGAGGAAAAATATTCTTAAATGGAGCATTAAAAAGCTGGTAAAATAATTAGACGGTACAAACCAATCTTAATTTAATGTAATAATTTACTGCTCCCTTTTACATTGCTTCATTTAGTTTCCTCTTAATATGAGCTTTCCTGCAAGGCATGAAGCAAAAAAATTTCTATGTTCAAAGAATTTGAGAACTGTCATACTTGCATACCTCAATGGTTCTCAGCAATGCTTTCAACTCTGCCTTTATATTACACAGAAACTGTTGGCATTTGAATATTTTTTGTTTTGTTTTTTTTTCCTGTCTTGCAGGTTGGAAAGTCAGTAGTAATCGATTCATGTAAGAAGTGTACCTGCAGTTCTGAGAAGGATCCAGAGACTAATGCAAACATTATGCATTGTGAAACCGTTCAGTGTGAGACATCTTGCCCACTGGTGAGTTCAGGTTCTCTAGGCTGCCCAGTCAGCTAGACTAGAATTCTCCATCACCAACTCAACATACTTTCCCTTTCATCTCTTTCCGAGCAGGGTTACCAATACATGGTTGAGGAAGGAGAGTGCTGTGGGAAGTGTATTGAAGTAGCTTGCAAAGTCAAACTCAGTAACAACACTGTTCATGTCCTCAATGTAAGTATTCTTTTCGTCCTCAATGTAAGTACTCTTTTTATTTTCAGATCTATCTGTTAGCCCATACAAGTTAGAACAGCTAAGAGTCAACTCATGTTGCTTACTGGTAAAAATGAAATACTGAAATTACTTCAAAAAACAATGTATCAGCTTTCTGAGTTGAACAATATTTGGTATCAAATTCTTGATTTTTTGTGGCTGCTGGAGCAATGGTTTCTAATTTATGGTCTAAGTGTTCAGAGCCGGGATTTAAACTTTCAAGCTAGATACAGTTTGTAGAATTTCATTTTTGCCAGTTGAAAGAAGTTCAGAAGCATCTGAAAATCTTTGAGGACTGAGAATTTAATTAGCTCAGAGATACTTGATCACAATGAAAAAAACTCCAACTTTTGCTTTTATTATGTAATCTTAGGTTAATGAGATCCTGCCACTCGATCAGTGCAGCAACTACAAGTGTGAAAAAATTGAAGATCAGTTTGTTGCAGTCCAAACGAAAAGAGTATGCCCTGAGTACGACCCCGAAGAGTGTGATCCTGTAAGTTTTTATCAGTCTTTCATTGACTCAATTCAGTTTAAATGAACAAGGAGGGACAAGGAGGAATACAACAAATCACTTCCACTGAAGTTGCAGCAATGCCTTAAGAATGAAACTAGGCTTGCTCTGTGATTAATAATAAGAAAAACAGTATTTTCTTATGAGGCTACAAGTATTGAAGACTCCTGTGGTGAGGACAGTAAGTAATCCATTGTTTCATTCAGGGTTCATCCCAGAGAAGCCTTCTGCCCAGTATCAGTAGTGCTAACTAATATACTTACTCATGATTGTCAACCATGTACTAATACAAATCCTCCTTCTTTTACAAAGGACGAAACAGAGATTACATCTGATGGCTGCTGCAAAATATGTAAACGTGAGTAATGCTGTGTTTATGTGTTCTGCCTGAAGAGCACTCTGTTCAACCTGTAACTATCTTTGAGTGGATGGAAAGAGTCTTCACTCACCCTGTTTTCACATAGTCTATTTAAGAAGATCTTGTGTTTTACTGTTTATTCAAAAGAAAAACTCAATTTTTTTCCTGATACTGAATACCACAAGTCAAACCAGCAATACTCAAGCCTCTGCATTATCTTCCAAAGGCACTTTACAGCCGAAATCAAAGAATAATCTGACAACTCCATATAAATTACACAGTACCCATCCCATCAAATACTGCAGATTCTCAGTAATAAGACATCAAGCACTTTGAAACTGGTTTACAGTTCCCTTAGTTCAGAACTAGAGAACTGAAGTATATTTTCTCTCCTCCCCCTTTTTTATGAAGCTAAAACCTGCAAGCCTCACACCAAGGAAACTGTGATCCGCCATGCTGACTGTGAGTCTTCTGGACCTGTTCAGGTCTCATATTGTGAAGGAACTTGTCCTAGCTCCTCAATGTAAGTTCTTAAAATTCATTTAACATCTCTTTATGTTTATATTTCATTTAATATCTCTTTATACCCATCACGCAAGGGTACTGAGGGAGCTGGAGAAAGTGCTCACAAAGCTACTTTCAATAATTTGTCAACATCTGGTTAACTATGGAGTTCCCAGTTGGCTGCAGGCCAGCAAATGAGATGCTCATGTACAGTAAAGTTTGGAGAGAGGATCCAGGCAAGTACAGGCCTGTCAGCCTGACCTTGGTGCCAGGGAAGGACATAGAGCAGATTATCTTGAGTGCCATCATGGAGTACATACAGGGTAATAAGGGCATCAGGCCCAGCTGGGATGGGTTTGGGAAAGGCAGCTGCTGCTTGACCAACCTGATCTCCTTCTAGGACAGGGTGACCCACATAGGGGATGAGGAAAAGGCTGTGGATATTGTCTACCCAGACTTGTATAAAGTTTTTTACAGCACTTCCCACAGCATTCTCCTGGAGAAGCTGGGAGCTCATAGCTTGGACAGGTGAACTGTTCACTGCATAAAAAATTGTTCATGGCCTGGATGGCCAGGTCCAGAGGGTGATGTTGAGTGGAGTTACCTGCAGCTGGGGGATGGTCACCGGTGGTGTTTCCTGGGGCTCAGTGCTGCAGCTGGTCCTGTTGTATGTCTTTATCAATAATTGTGTGAGGTTCAATGAGGCTTAGTGCTGTGTCCTGCCCTTGGGCCACAACCACCCCAGACAGCTGGGGCAGAGGGGCTAGGAAGCTGCCCAGTGGAAAAGGACCTGGGGATGTTAGTGACAGCAGCTGGACATGAGCCAATGTGTGCTCAGGTGGCCAAGACAACCAAGAACATCCTGGCCTGGATCAGCAACAGTATGGCCAGCAGGACCAGGACAATGTACTTGGCCATAGTGAGGCCACACCTCGAGTCCTGCGTCCCGTTCTTGGTCTCTCACTGAAATAAAGACATTGAGGTACTGAAGCATGTCCAGAGAAGGGCAAAAGAGCTGGGGAAGGGTCTGGAGCCCAAGTCTTGAAGAGCAGCTGAGGGAATTGCAGGTGTAACCTGGAGAAAAGGAGGTGTAACCTGGAGAAAAGGAGGGGAAATGTCACACTCTCTATAACTGCCTGAAAGGAGGGTGTAGTGAGGTGGGGGTTCATCTCTTCTCCCAGGTAACAAGTGAAAGGATGAGAGGAAATGGCTTCAAGTTGCACCAGGAACGGTTTAGATTGGATATTAGGAAATATTTCTTCACTGAAATGGTTGTTAAGCACTGGAACAGATTGCTGAGGGAAGCAGTTCAGTCATCATCCCTTCAAGTATTTAAAAGACATGCAGGTGTGGCACTTTGAGACACAGTTTAGTGGTGGACTGGGTAGTGCTGGGACTCGATCAGAAAGGTCTGTTCCAACCTATATGGTTCTATGATTGCAGAACAGCAACAAAGTTAATGTGTTTATATGATTCCACTGAACTGAATTGGATTCAATATAAGCAAGAACAGTTTTACTATTGAAGACAATGAAAATCACTTTCATAAGTGTGCGTGACAAGGAGGAAAAGAGGATTAAAAAAAAAAAACACCCCAAAAGCAAACCAAACACTCACAAAAATCACTGAGGGGGTTTTCTGAGTGTTTTTAACAAGATGCATTTTTTCGCCTGGCGGAACACAGGTACTCTCTTGAAGCAAACCAGATGGAACACACGTGTGGCTGCTGCCAGGAACTCAGCACCCAAACAAGAGATGTGACCCTGACTTGCCAAAATGGAACCAGCATAAATTATACCTATCTCTACGTGGAAAACTGCCAGTGTGTAAATGCTTGCTCTTCAGAAACCACTGCAGCACCTGACTCCCAGTTCCAACAATCTAGAAAATATGGCTCCCAATTGCAGCAGGCTATATCACTTGGTTCCCAATGGCAACTCAGCTGAGGATATGATCACTGGAAAAAGGGAGACCCTAAAGAAGCTGGAATCATGTCTTCCTGAAAACAAATTGTGCTCCTTCTTTAACATTCCTTTTTCATGACTTACTTGTAAAAATAATTAAAAAAAAGGTCAATTAAATTGCAGTGTTTGGGTTTTTTTTTTTAATGTTACAGTATTGAAGAGTAAAAACAGATGACTGCAAAATACCTCATGTAACTTACAGAAATATGCAAGCACATGCTTTATCACAAAACCTATATTTGAGGTAAAAAAGAATTCAGGAGCCTCTAAAAAATAAAGCAAGAAAACATTGCAGCTACATTGTACTTCTTGATCCTAGTGAAAGCATTATTGCATATTCTTTTTATAGACATATTAGTCCTAACACATCTCAAAAACAGGGACAAAGCTGTTTTATTTGATCACTAAAACTTTAAGTACTTTTCAGTTGTGACTGCTCAATACCCATCTTCTTTACCTAAATGACAGTGAGTCCAAGGAATGGCATCAGAAAGTTTTGACTCAGAGGGGTATATTCTCGACCAGTCTTTGGGAATACAGCCCTCTTCCTGAACTAGGTACAATTCCTTCACCAATGTCCAAATAGCTCTTCCCACTGGCATAAAAGATGAAAAAATTTGCTCCTCTTATCTGCTCACTTCCACCTCCTTTAGTTTGTTCCTCATGCTGCATGTACTGTATGCATTTCAAATGTGCTCCAGCATACTCACACATCACGAAGCAGTGTGGAGGATCTTGCTACCATTCCATCGGTCTAACACTGCTGGGTGGCCACCAGGCTTATGTCCAGCAAGCCTGGGTTTAGCCCTTTTCCCCTTCAATCCACTTAAATGCTCTTTCAACAAGCACTGCACCCCCCTGCAAAGATCCTTCTCTCTGTCTGAGACAGGTGTACCCAGCTGCTGCCACCAAGTATCAATCTGCTGGTTCTTCTTGTTTCTTCCCTCACCATTCCCTGCAACTGGAAGGATAAAGAAGAACACTACTCATGCTCCTGATCCCATAGTAACCAGGTGTCCCAAGGCCCCAAAACCTCTTCTGATCGTCCTTGGCCTTCATATTGCAAACTTCATAATTGCCTACATGAGAAAGCAATAATGGATAATAATCCAAGGGCTGTACCAGAGCTGAAAGTTTCCTCATCTCATCTGTAACCCAGGCCGCAGGGAAGCAGATGACTTCCCTATGAAGTGGGGCTTGCCAGGAAATTGGACCTTCTGTTCCCCTCACTGGAGGGTTTCCTGTGCCAGTACCTCACCTTTCTTTCCTTCTGGAAGCAGTTTCAACACAGCGCATAGGGGAACTTCACCTTAGTGAATCTTCCTACAGAGATGAACCATCATCCTCATCCTTTGATTTCCCCTTGCAGAGCCTTGTACCTATTAAACGCGGGCACCTGAGAAGGTGGGGCAGTCACAGAGGAGTATCCTGGCCTACCAGGCAGGAATTTGTAATCATTACCCCCTTTTGTAACTACTTAAAGAATAATTTTTAAAAAAGTTTTAAGCATTTTAAATCAACTTAATACTCCACATTAAACTGATGACTATTACAGAGGTAACAAATTTAAACCAGAAAAACTTTGTCCTGTGAGTGTTAAGTGCATGGTAATCCATAGAGAAACATGGACCGCAGAGACATGGAAAGTGTAATTCACTGGAGTTATTTTACAATTGGAGATTATTTTAAATAAATTTAATTATCCTTCATTCTCTTTCAATGGTAAATACATTAAACTTATAAAAATTCTCAATTTTTTGTACACTGAAATGTTTTAATAACATGTTCTGAGTGAACTCTTTGAATACTTCAAATAGTAGTGCTTTTATAATTCTCTCATCCATGGAAACACATATGTAGCTCAGATAATTTTCAATCTACTTGCTTTCCACAAATTCACTTTTCTCATCTATATGCAAATTTTCCTTCCTTCAAAAGTTATGGTATAACCCAAGTATATCTTACGAAATTAATTATGCTTTTTGGCAAGATAGTAAAGAAAATACTTCTAAAATATACTGCTGCATGAAAATAGATTAACTTGAGTTTCTGACTAAGCTTCCTGAGGATCTAGAAGAGAAAGCTCAAGTCTTCAGTAGGCTACAACTCAAAACTGCAGAGAAGATTGCTAATATGGGTTTTCATTTTTCCTTCTTATTCTAAGAAAACACATATTTGCATTTCTCCTAGAGGCCTTGCTCACACTGATGTTCTGAAATTCAAAATACACTGATTTCTCTTTATACCCCCACACATCATCACTGATTAACACTGAAATGAAAAAGCTAATAAAAATACAAAATGCTAAATAGATGCTTCAGCAGCCACAAGAGCACCAACATTTGTTTGAAGTAAACTAATTTTCACCCCTCCTATCTCTCACAGCAAAATGGAGAAATGTGAAAGCAAACTGTAACCTCTGAAGATAAACTGGAATAGAAAGTGATACTCAAGGGTTAGAATAAAGCACAATTTTAACATAGTTTTATTTCATAGTAGGTACTCAATACTTTAAGGAAAAAAAAGAATAATCAGCTGTGAAAGATTCCTCCAAACTATTATTTGTTAAAAAACCCAAACTCTTGATTAGGAGAAAAAAGCACACTATGAATGGACAGTAAATACCAAAATCTTAGCTTGATAATACAGTAATACTTCAAACTAGCAGTTGCTTATTAATCACAATTATCACTGTGCATGGTGATGCTATTAAGTGAGAGAGGGCCCCAGATACCTTTGTCACCACAGTACTAGAAAGAGATGCTATGCAAACCAAATCTTTCAAATTCATTTATCATATATTAGCAGATAAAACCCGCTCTTTTTGTGGCTGGAATAGCACATATGGTCCATTTCATAACTCTTCATTTGGACACCACTCCCATCCAGAGTCCTCAATCCTTCACACTGCAGCATTCCCTCCATACCCACGTGCCATTCTTCCCTCCTCCCCTGCTCTCCAACGCTGTCTTTCAAACAATGCAGCATCACTACTGCCTTCTTCTGTCCTCAATACGCAACACCAGCATATTTCCTTGAGAAAGCAGCCCCTAGACGAGTCAGAAAGAGGCACCTACCTGTAGAAGAATTCTCAAAGTGCTTTTGAGCATTTACTGTTACTGTTCCCATCAGATGGTCACATTAAGAAGTAGTGTAGTTTGCCAACCAATGTTCAACACTGAATAGAAGACAGTAACCAATACTTGAATTTTAAATCAGTAAAGACTCACACTCTGGTGCTCTCCAACAGAGACATTATACACTTTCATTCAGATGGTACATTTATTAAATTAGAATGAAAAAGTTAATGTACTTTAGAGTGCAAGAAACATATTCGGACACTGGAACTCGATACAGAGAAACAATGTCTTCAGAATAATTACAGCAACACAACATCCTCTGTAGGGTATTACATATCAACCAAACAGGCAATAACGTTTATAAGGGGGGAATAAACCCATTCAGTACCATCAGCAGATGCAAAGAGCAGTAGAGAAGTTGCAAGGATCTAGCTAGACAAAAAATGTTCCTACCTTTAGCAAGCTGAGGCTCTTGGCAGGACTCAAACTACACTGAGAGCACTCACTTTTAGCAGATGCCTGTCTTACACAGCTGGCTTTAACTCTAAGCTGCTGGAAGCTGCTGAGCAGAGGAGCAGCATCAAACACAGTATTACCCCATGAGCATTTTCTCAAAAGCTACAATCATGACTGACAATTTGTTTGTTTTAAATAGAAAACCAGACTTTCAGTTCCAATACCTTAATTTCACAGACCCTAAAATAAGTAAACACCTCCTGCCTTTTTTTATCTCTCTCCAATTCAAACCTAACAACAAACAGTTTAACTGGAAGGATATGTAAGCTGAAAAGCTGAGTAGGCTGATCAATTTGTTCTTTTTAACAAGAGAAAGTAGCACATATTGATGTGAGAGTTTCATCTCTAATGCTTAATTTAAAAAAGATAAAAAGATGCACAGAACAATATTTAAGTATAGTGTAAGATAATGAAACCCATCTACTGGCCATACCGCTCCTACACATCCTATTTTCAACTCACATTTGTACCCTGTTTTGCATAACACTTGCCTAGGAAAAAAAAACACACTAAAAATATATCTAAGAACAGGAGTCTCCCTCAGAGGGCCAGAATCAGTTTATGAATCAACCTGGCTAGCTTAACTTTTGCACTTACCCCTCCTGGCAGTTAGGACTGAAAGATGGTTTTGTTCTGTGCTTGAAATGGATAGGATGCAGTACAATTTACCAGCCATTAAGTTGAACCATGACCACTTGCTTTTATGAAAAGCTGTATTATGAATCCCACCGTTTTAATATAAAATTTTAAATATGTACATTTTCCCTGAATTGTTCTGTCCCTAGCAATTCATGCTATCTACGTAAAAGTTAAGAGCACAGGACTCTTCCTGGAGGTATCTAAGCATTAAATCCCTACCAACATTCATCCTTTTGGGTCATGATGTCACAAAACACTCTGCTTTTATAAAGACCAAATGCCTCTACACCTAATCAATCACAAAATTTACCATGATTGCAGGGAAGGGGCAAGACTAGTTTCTTGAAGAATACCCATTTAACTTCAGAAAACAAAAACGTGGCAATTCTACAACTACAGCACACAAAACTATAGCCTTGAATTTCATTATTCAAAATCCAACTGGAGGATGTTCAAAGACACATGCTTTCAATGGGAAATTTAAGATGTTAAGGGATTCATAACAAAACTTAAAACTGTACATTATGAAAAGACAGCTTTAAAAGGTCAGAAACTGGGATGATTTTTGGTGCTGTATTTTAAAAGTTTCACTATTACTTTTAATGATTAAAAAAAATAAATATTCATGCTCTACTGCCAGCGCTACCTAAAGGCTACTTGAATGTAGGTTGCAGGGGGATAAAACCAGCTTTCCATCAGATAATAAAGAAAATATTTTAAGCATAGGACATAAAATAAAGTGTGGGGAAGAAGAGAATATGGGTCGTCATTTCATGTTCCAACCTGGCTTTAATGTTCTCATGAATCACTCAAGAGCCTAGATTTCAAGTGTACATTCATTTCAACTCTTGAAAATATAAAGGTCTATGGCTATTGTAGAAAATATTTGAAATCAAATATTAAAGAGACAAAACAGCAACATTGCACATCACTGGAAAAATAAATTGGTGCAGACTATTTAAAGTGCATTACTTTACAAAAACAGACACCACAGAAATTCATCTGACAGGTGTAACTGGTGCATAACTCTATGATTCTGCAGCTCCAAAATCAACTCTTACTTGAAAAAATTACACTGACAATAAATACAAACACCTCCTCTGAGGATCAGACTGTAACTCAGATATGTTAAATTGTCTCTCACATAGAATTTTATTTCCATCTGCATCAAATAATAATAAACTGACTACAGCAGCTGTAGTCTAACAAGTCACTGAGCAATTCATAATGCCATTCTAAGACCCTGAAGCTACTTTTTGTGTTTATTTCTTATTACAGGAAAAATACAATCATTTTCCCACAAATGTAAAGCAATAACTTTGCTGAAACATAGGTATAAAGAAAGAAGCTTTATAACCAGATCATAGATATCTGCTTTTTTAATGTAAGACAACATCTTAAATAATTCCTTACGGCTTCAATCACTTTCCAGGTATAAATATCTTTACTTCTGCACTTAACTTTTGAAATAGTCATGGGAATGCAGAAGTAATACTTAGAGTGCAATTAACCGTAGGAGTACATTAGGGCTTAGTTCTATTCTCTGCTACAGCAATACAAACTGTATGAGTTAAAAGTTACCTCCTAAGATTTTACAGATACATAACAATACTATGTGGGAGGACGAAGCCCCAAATGCACACCAGATAATATATTGCTTTGGTGCCCAATGACTAGATTGAATAGTAGATGCCTATTACAAATGCCAACAGTACAACCTAAGAAATTTAGCTTATTAAATTAAAAATCTTCCATCTAAAAGGTGTGAATATATCACAGTAATACCTAAACGCCACAGGATAAGAAAGGGTCTCTCCTTTAATTTCTGGCAAAAACAGGCTGCTTGCAGAAACCTAAATACTTTTAACAAATCAATTGTATTTAAACAGCAAACCTTCCATGGAAAGTTTTTTCCCCCAATCTAACAAACACTAGTAAATCTTGTACTGCATAGAGTTACTTTGTAAGAGCAAGTTTATGAAAAGGGGGAGAGAAAGAAACAAAGCAGCATTATTCCCAATGCCATCAGAATATAGCCACGCAGGGCACAGCTGATAGTAAAGATGCATCACTGCTCTATGGCAGGACATAAGCTAAACAGAGTATGTACAGACTGAGAAAGAAAGAAAGAGAAGAAGATCCAACTGTCCAAGGAGAAAAGGGATACAATCTGTCACACACGATGCACTAACAGAAAGCTGTTGGGAAATTCTTCCTCTAGCTAAATCCCTGGCTTGGCAAGTAAAAATAAGTGGCATCGAGGACAGGGACTATACAGGAAGTGGGCATCTATGATTCTTCAGCCATCTGAAGTAAGGAGTTGATAGCTGCATCCTTGTTCCCCCTTTGAGCTTCTAGCACTGAGCGGATTACTTCCCTGTCCATGTTGGGAAACATGTCCTGGATAGATTTCAGGTCCTCTTCATTACACAGGTGCTGAGGGTTGACAGCAGGAGGTGGTATTGCCACCGGGACCATGCCTGGATTACAGACCGCAGGCATCCCTACAGGTTAAAAACAGAAGAAAGAAAGCCACAAAACACACATGAGTAGAGGAAAAAAAGATAAAAATTAACAAACCCACAACAAAAAAACCCAGTGATTCTGAAGACAAAAGCAGCTCATGACTTGTCCCAACCCACCAACTTCAGCATTTATTTATTTTAACATGCACTCCAGAGGAGGAAGAAGACTGCAGAGATTAAACCTACATTGTTGCAACTGGAAAATACTCTTCTGGAACAGGTTTTCACCCCAAGATTATATTCCAGAAGTTATAAGCTACAGTATGACAACAGGTACTGTTCAAAATTAGGTGCAATGTGCATTAAACAAGTTCACATGTAATTCACTAACCAAACACTAAGCTCATCACAGAAAGGTATGGTTGGTTTTTCCCCATCTCATATTTTAGTTCCCAGTGTATTTATGTTGTGATGAAAAAATGGTTTTACATTAGCAATATACATGGCTGATATTCCAAAAGACAATGAATGCAATTTCCAGCATATTCAAAGGAAAGCCAAGTACCTTGGTCCACTAGAAAACCAGACCACACAAATAAGCAACTTTTAGCAGATGTTGTTCCTGGCTAAAGTTCCATCCAGCCCTCAAAGTCACTACATGGCAAAAGAGCAACCCCTTTAGGGGCACACACTGCGTTGTTCATCTCTCTTCCAAAGGACAAAATTCATCTGACCTGTCATTTTTCGCTAACTCCTGGTACATCCATGTAAAACAAAGCACTGCCAGTTTACAGAGTTTTAGAAAAAGAGTATTCCTATTCCTGTTAAAAGAAATTACTAGGCAAAATCCCTTTTTCATCACATAAGAACTTCTATCACCGAGCACAGAACCGGAACCGTTGGTGAAAACACTACCTTTTGTTTTGTATAAAACTGAAAACAGATAATAATACATATCTATATTTTTTTTTGTTATCACTTCTGAAAATTGTGTATTTCACTTCTTCTCTATGTAGTTTCAGATCCCTGATTATCTTAGTCCCACTCCTTTATGTGTTAGCTTCTGCAGTTCTCCTCAGAATTTCTAAGGTAGGGCAAGGAGAAGTACCTGAAGCTACAAAGAACCAAGTTCTAGTATCAGTTTTCTATTTGCTTTCAAGCATTTTATGCACTGTTTCAAAGACTATTCTCCTGATATTTTTATAAAATAGTCTACAATAATTCAAAGACCTTCCTATACAGTAATGAGCAAATTGAGAAATTGTCACCAAATAAGTATTAGTTAAGATTATCCCTTGCACATACTTTAACCCCAGATTTAATAAATAATTTTATTTCCCTTTTACTACAATGAGATCTTTCTGCAACCTGTGGCAGTCAGAGAGGCTTAGAAAACTGCTAAGGGTTCTTGTTCCAACAAATTGTCTTAGTCCCCTCACTTTTTTAAGAAATCTGATGCACCTCACCAAAGGAGGCGCACAGATTCAACTCCTTTCATTAGATGAATAATTACCTATATTTATTTGTTCATCAGGTCTTTAAAGTAGATATTAAACCACAAGATTATCTTTATTGTATCAGAATATCATATGATGGAAAGAATGCTTAGGAAATAGCATTTTACAAATGCAGCTGAGAAGGTGGTTTACACAGACCACACTGTTCTTTCTTATGTACTCAAATACTTATGAATTTTAACATACAGGCTTTTCCTACACAACCATGTCACGTCCTCCTAAAGTTTACATAGTTACATTTTTGCTTTAAAGCAGTTCATTCTAGTCTTCCAGGGTTTTAATAATTGTATATAACAGAGAATATGGCTACTTCAAAAATGTTTTTAATTGAAACTTCACTTTGCTATCCTCCAGTCTTCAGAAAGTAAAACTTCCTGAGACTGTTATGGTCTCACATTCCAACTAGGTTTTCATGAGCTACCATACATACTTTTATCTTTATTATTATTTATTACGTACATGATTCTAGGTTTTCTGCTTCTTTAAAAGAAATGATTTCTGCTTCTTTGACACATATGATCTTCAAGAACGTCACACAACCAGTTTAGATTTAACATATAATTTAACACTTTCACATATGCATATATGGGTGATCTACCAATTTTTGTCAGAAACATACTTTACTGCTTTACTTCATACTTCTTAATATTCTCTGACTATTGGCTTTGGGTTTTTTTAATTTGGCACACAATTTCTTTGAACAATTAACTTCTTTTACACAGTTTTTAGTTCATCTGTTTGCCTTCTACATATGACCTTAATTACTTCTCTGTAAGTTAAACAAACGATGAACTATTTGCACCATCATCACTATACATCTTCAAAATAAGATCTCTTTGAGAACTAGCTTTCATTTATTACCCAGGAGTACATCAGAAGCTGCT